TCATGCAGCCAAGCCCTGCTGGGATTGCTGACTTACAAAATCATGGTATATAATAAAAGAGTTGCTGTTTTAAGCCACTGAATTGTGGGGGTAGTGTGTTATTCAGCAGTAGATACCTAAGGAGACATTGGAGTAAGACCCCATTTAACATTGTCAATAGGTTCTGTGATTTTAAGTGAAATGATATATAATGAAACCCATTTTACCAGAGGCTAGTTGACACAGATGGATGGTTGGATGGAGGGAGGGATGGATGGATGAATGGACGGATGGATGGATGGATGGATGGATGGATGGATGGATGGATGGATGGATGGAAGAAAGGAAAAAACAGACAAAAAGTGATGAAACATGATCAGAGAGAATGCTTGCATATGTGATTAGACTTATGCTGCTCCTCAGAGTTAAGGGAATGCAATAAACATTTCTAGAGTGATGCTAAGTGGATGATAAAAAATGACAGCTCCTGTATTGGACCTTTGCTCTATGCCAGGCACTGTGCTAATATCTTTAAATGGATTATCTTATTCAATCTGAAGTAGCCCTGTAACTTGGGTACTATAATGATCTCATTTTACAGAGAGGAAATCTCAGCTCTAAGAGTTGAAATAACATGCCCAAGCTGACATGTCGCAAGGGGTCAGAGGCAAGATTCAAGCCCAGCTCTGCCACTCCTTGGCTGGTACTGCTAACCACCATATTAGACTGCATTTTAGGCCCCACCTCCAGTCATAGGAATCAGGCAATAACCATCTCAACACACGGATGTTCCTACAAATTTCTGGTTAATTCATTAGACTCAAATCCAATTCAACAACAAAAGAGGTTGCCATGCCTTCTGTACTCTTTTTATTTTTCACAACTGGATTTCCACTTGCCTTTGAAGGCTAAGTCATGCTATTATCCCCGTCATTGTTGTTGTCAATCGCCAAATTCCAGGACACTCTCTCATTATTGGTGACTCTATCCCAGGAACCAGCACTCCCCTCGCCACATCATTCACTTGTGTCACCACGTGACTGCAATATCAGCATCAGTGATGGAGCAAGACCCTGACATGACCATGGTAGGCCGTGTCTTTCTGGTTTCCATGATGGTTTAAGGTCAGCTGGAAATTGGAGGGATTGCCAACTGTGATGGTGGAAAATGCAGTTTCTTCCAAAAAAGGCATATGTATGTCTTTGAATATTACCTCTTTGGAGCTAAGCAGCTTCTAAAAATCCATGCCCACTTTCTGTGTGGTGCAGCAATGTGGCATTCAGAAAAATCTCCTAGGATTTTAAAAATGCAGACTCATTGTCTTTTCAGCCTAAGCAAAGAATTCCCCTCACATATAAGCAATAAAACAATGGGGCGGGGGGTAGGAGGCTTGTACAGTTTACAAACAATTTGCATGAGAGCTTTATTTCTCTTTGCCACCTGAGAAGGGAGGTGAAGTGGATTTTCTGAATGTGGGGAAGTGCAAAGTCCACTTGGCTTGAGCAACTAGCTCTGTCCATTGTGCTGAATATTCAATCATCACCCTCAACCAGTTCTTCCTTATTTTAGACCAAAATGAAGGGGTTACAATTAGTCCTCTAGAAGACAGAGATTTGCTGTTGTCTGGGGTTGGGGTTCTGGGTTAGGATGAAGATCCCTCTCCCTTTCCTGCCCGTCATCCGCTCGACTGCAAATGAGTCACCCTCATGTAGACCTTAGACATTTCACATAAAGATCAGGATTCCTGGCTTCTCACAACATGTCAGGGGATATGTAAACACCACACCGGTCCCCAAACAGCAGCACCCACCAGCTGAGGCTGAGAGCAGTAACTTTTAACAAAGTTTGTTCTCCCAGCTCACCACAGACCTCACCAGTCTATCTTGTTACCCGAGGCCCCTTTGAATCTCTGCCCTCAAAAAGCTCTAATGCCTAAAATTGGAAGATGAATGTGAAGGGTTTTTTTTTAGTTTCATGAGAAGGAAGCACGTGCAGTGGCTTTTGGCTGGCTTCCTGCCCTGGGAGTCAGCACTTGCTCATGTCTTAGTGTCTTAGCATCACTCAGTCCTTGGCCTGTTGTGTCTCTTTCTGCCTGTTTCAAGTCCCATCTGCCTTACTCCCTGCTACTCTGTTTCTTGGAAGAAGAAAGGGACATGGGAAGGAACCAGACATGCCTGGGTTTGAATTCCAGTTCTGCCACTTCCCAAGCAGCCATCTGAGTGCCAACTTCCTCATCTTTAAAGTGAGAATAACAATTTTAAAAAATAATTAGGAATAACTTAAAATTACTTTAGAACTAATAATAATATCCTCACAGAGTTGCTGTGAGGACACTTAAAGATTGAGGACTCTCCATATAAAGCAGGCGGGGAAGGGACCCACTGTGGAAAGAGGTTTTCGCCAATGGTAACCCTATCAATAGTCAGCATTTACTGTGTTCCCAGTGACATCCTCAGGACATGTGTACCTGACCCTACTGAATTCTCCCAATAGCCCTATGACATAGGGATTACGCTCATCAAACCAACGACAAATGTGGAGGCTCTGAGACATTAAGTAACTTTCCCAAGGTTGCACAGTTAGTAAATAACCAGATTCAGAACCAGGCATTTGAACTCTGGAACCTGTTTGTTTAACAATCATGTAATTATGCCTCCTAGTAATAACCAACTCCTTATCTGTACGACTAGAGAATGGGGGCCATTATTGGCTCCAAGGTCACACGTAAAGGAGGAGGGGCAGGACACTTTGGGTCTTGTCCACAGTTCTTTTCCCTCAACTGATTCATGATCACTTGCGTCTTACCAACTCTTAGCAATGCCTCAGTCTCCTGATTTTACCCTTTCCCCTTTTTTCCACAAGACAGCCAAAATATTGCTTTTAAAATAAATACAAATAAGATGATGTAACTACAGCCCCAAACCTTCCAATGCCTTCCCAGCATTCCAACAAAAAACTTCATGCTCATTTCAGCCCTCAAGCATTCATGAATCACCCCCTTCCACTTCCCTCCTTGGCCCAGTCATGCTGGTCTGCTCCTCCCTGTGGCCTTGGTCCCGGCTGGCCCCTCTCCCTGTATCCCCAGATCTTTGCATGGCTGGACTGGCATCACCCAGGCCTCTTCTCAAGTCCCTCTTCAGAGACCTTCCCTGACTACCCACCACTGTCCACCCCCAAAATGCCCTCCTCATCCCATCGCCCTCCCTTATTTAAATAATTTATCACTATTGCAACCTCTTATTTGGGAATCTGGTAGGTTTTTTTTTTTCCCCATCTTCCTCCTTTTCCTGGACTACTAGTGAGTCAGCTGGACAGAGACTTTATTTTAGCTCATTGCTATTTCCATGGGCCACCTGACACCTGGCCAGCACAGGTGCTCAACCAATTGTTGCATAAAGGAAGTTTTCAGAAGAGAGTGTGCACTGACCGCCCTAAGTCTCTACCTCTCCCAGTCCAAGCTCTTTGCAAGTCCCTCATCAAGGGCCGGCATCTTTTTCCTCACCATCAAATCTAAGTTGGGCTAGAGCTCACTGATAATATAAGGTGGCGGTTGAGTTGTGCTGGCCTCAGAGGCCCTGCACACCTCTGCTGTCATGTCACCTTGGAACCCTGCCCCTGCAATGTGCAGAAGTCCAGGTAAGTCTGCTAGACATGGCTGACTTACTTAGTGACAACTCACCTTCATCTCTGTTCTTGTCTCTTCTTCACAGCCCAATGTCATTGCTCACAAGAGCAACTGAGCTGTGAAACAAGTTTTAAGCATGAGGGGAGGGAATGAACATGCTCACTTGACCCAGAGCAGGGAGTGATGGAAGATCGAGAGAAGGGATGGCTTATGACTATATTTTGGAATGGGATCAGAATGAAGTCTGGGTCTTGACAGAGCCACTGTGCCAGGACCCCAAGGAAGTGGAGCAGGAAGGAACCATCACTGTGGCCCAACCTGGAGCCTCCGACCACCGCAGGTTCCTACAAGGACTCCCACGGGCACCAACCTGGCTCCTTGTTACTGAAGAGGAAGGAGGAAAGATGTAGCCCAGACCCCAAAACCACAACACAGCTGTGACCAAAGCCCGACCACTTACTCTTCTGGTGCCTGTTTCCTGAGCTGTGTAATGGGGATGACAACATTGCTTGCCTCTTTTGCTGTAGTGATTGAGACTCCCCCACCCCCACCAATGCCACCTCATGTCCCTCCTAGACCCTTCTTGAGATCCTGCAAGCTGGTTTTCTCTGCCAGACATTGGGCACAGTGACACAGACCTCCCAGTGTGAGAGAATCCTGTAAGGACAGGCACTAGAGGATGCTCACACTGGGCCCAACAGTGCCAAATGTTTTGCATTTGCTCTTTCACTTAATTTCTAACAATGGGCCCAGTCCCGCAGTGCCTTATTTGTTGTCTCACGAGGTGGCACTCAGGCCAGGGGTTGGCCTCCTCCTTGAGAGTGCTTGGCACTCAAACCTCCCTTAGCAGCTCGGGCACTTTCCCACCTTATGAGTCATGGAAAGTAGGGACAGCCTCTGGCCGTAGATGCTGGACAGTCCAGGTAGCTGCTTTCCCAGACTCCCTTGCAGCTAGGGTATGGCCCATGGCCTGGATTTTACTGGTCAGATACACCTGCATTTCCCTGGAGAGAAGGAACCAGGGCCCAGCCCCCAGGACACTGTGCTGGACTGAGGACAAGTGAGACAGTATCCTGAAAAGGTCTGTACTCAACAGTGAGCCACCCCTAGCCCCCTCACCCAACCCCCCAAGGGTCCCAGACTGATAGCCATCAGGCAGGTACCCTACCCCCAGCAGGAGAATGGATTTCTCTTGGTAAAATGGGCCACCCAAAAGACCTACTCAGTGATATTTGAGGGCCCCCTATGAAATGAGTGATCTACCCCAAGTAATACTCTTAGCAAGAACAAGAACTGGTGCTCTACGACTAAGCTCAGATTTCCACTGTGTGGGTCCCAGAGAACCCCGCCCTGACACTCAGCTCCGGGAGGGTAATGTGTAGGACAGAACCAGGGCTCTGGTCTGCACACCTCATCAGTGACTTTATTACTCTGCAGATGCTGAATTGTCATTTCCCACAGGCTTCCCAGAGAGGGTATTTCTGTCCATCTCATGTTTTCCTGCATCACGGAGGGCAGCGGGACCAAGGAATCCATTGTCGGCCTCCTCTCCTGTGCCCCAAACTGTCCTGAGGAGGTCTCTAGGAGCAAGACCTAGCCCCTACCTTCAGCCTCCTCTCTATCAAAGGGCCGGCCTGCTGCTCCTGACCGCCGGGGTAAGGGAGTGGATTGTGAGGGAAGGAAGCAGGAGGGTACAATGAGGAGGTACCTTCCACGGGATGGGAGAGGCTCAGGGATCAGTAAGGAAGAATGGAAGTGAGAGCTTAACAGGAAAGTGAGGTCTGGGGCAGAGCTGGGAAAAACAGAGAACGTTAGGGCATCGGACAGTGTAAACACGGGAGAGAGGGAGAGAAGGCGGGAAGAGGAGCCGGTGCTGGAGAGACCCGGCAGCACAGCGGGAACCAAGGGTGGCTGGGCGGCTACCCCAGAGGCCAGGGCGGGAAGGACCCCCCGCCCTCGGGGCCTGGCGCACCCGGCCTTCCCGCACCACCTGCAGCCCGACCGTGGATACGCTGGTGGCGCAGCACGTGCTCACGGCGCCCGAAGCCTTTGCCGCACTCCCAACAGGCGAAGGGCCGCGCGCCCGAGTGCGTCTTGCGGTGGCGCACCAGGTGCTCGCGCCAGTAGAAGGTCTTGCCGCACTCGCAGCAGGCGTGCGGCTTCTCGCGGGCAGGCAGCGGGCGCAAGGCCGGTCCGGGGCCGCCGGGGTGTGTGCCGCGGTGGCGCCGCAGGTGCTCCTTGCGTCGGAAGGCCTTTCCACACTCGGGGCAGGCATGTGGCTTCTCGGCCGAGTGACTCTGTCGGTGGCGCAGCAGGTGCGCCGGCTTAAGGGCAGCCATTCCGCACTCGGGGCAGGACGTGGCGCCCGAGGCAGCCAGGAAGGCGGGCAGGACTGGCGTGGGTGGCGCTGGTGGGGGGCTGCCCGGTTCCTGCTTGTAGGGACGGGTGGCTTGGGCGTCCCCTGTTGCTGGCTCCTCAGCCCCCAGAGCTGTGTCTCCTGCCAGGCAAAGGTGCAGTTAGGGCAGCGGCTCTGCACCAATGGGGGTGAGTAAAACCTGGCAGGGGTGGGCCGGGGTTGACGCTGGCGTCCCGGGCAGGAGGGGCGGCCTTAGGGCCAGCTGGGAGCTCTGACCAACAGGAGACATTGAGGGGAGCTTCTCGTTCACTCCTGTGATCCGCAGCACAATGCCTGGTGCAGAGTAAGTGCCCACCAAACATGTATGGATGGGTGGGTGGGTGTGAGGGGGATAAATGAAGGGATGGGGAAAGTGGTGTAATACACAGGTGACGGGTTGAAGAGGAAATAGTAGAGAAGTCATAAGTGTGCAAGGGGATAGATGAATGGTGGATGATGGATGGCTGGGTGGGTAAATGAGTAAATGGACGGATGTGTTGGTGGATGGAAGGCTGGGTGGTGGAGATGGGGTAGTGAGGAGACAAGTGAAGGGATGACTAGGAAGGTAGACTGATGGGTGAATGGTGAGTGGGTGCACTGCACAAGGTGCAAGGGAGCAGGTAGGTGTGTGTGAGTAGGTACCCAGGTAACAAACAGTGGGTGGTAAGTAGCATGGATGGATGAACCACATATTTCCTTTCTCCCTGTTTTCTAACTGCCCTACGGAACTGCAGGGAGAAGAGCAACCTGTTTCATTTTCCACTGGGACAGGTGTGACAAAAACAGCTCGCTAACGTCTGCTTTCTCCCTGTGTATTCGGCATAGGCTGGACAGTCCACGTGGAACACCTCATTTCTACCTCACAAATCCAGTGAGGACAGGCCTGTTACCCCAACACAGAGAAGGGCACTGAGCTCAGAGGCCTTGTCCAGTGACCCGGCCCAGTCTGGCTGGCTCCCCTTCCTTGCCCTTCTGCAGAAAGTACCTTAATACTCGCCCCGCTTCTCCAGGGCACACAGGTATCCCTGCACCTTTACGGGTCCTTCCACCTGTTTTTCCAGTGGTGTTCACTGGAATGGGACCTGCTTCCAGTAAAACCACGCGTTCCCAAGCATAACTCCAGGCCTCTACTCTACCCACATTCCCAATCCTCCCCAGATCCCTTTCTTGCCCCCGGCCCCCATCTCCTGTTCTCTCCAGGTCCCTGTGCTGCTCGTGTCCCCTGTCCTCCCCATGTCCCCCATCCTCCCTGGGTCCCACTGTCCTCCCCACGTCCCCCATCCTCCCCGGGTCCATCTTGCCCAAGTCCCCCATCTCCCATCCTCTCCAGGTCCCCGTGCTGCCCATGTCCCCCATCCTCCCAGGGTCCAACTATCCTCCCCACATCCCCTGTCCTCTCCGTGTCTCCCACCCTCCCCAGACCCGTCCTCCCTGCATCCCCCATCCTTCCCAGGTTCTTGTCTTCCCCGCATCCCCCATCCTCCCTGGGTCCCTGTCTTCCCTGAGTCCTCCATCTTCCCTAGGTCCTTATCACCTCCATTTTCTCTAGGTCCCTACCCTCCTTGTGGCCCCCATCCTGCTGCCTCCATATGTGACCTTGTGATGACCCTCAAGTTTCCCTGCTGTGCACACCACGGCCCTGGCTGGCACAAGATCCCACCAGGAACCACGTACATGGACACCAGCACTGAGTCCACGTCGACTGCAGAATCACCAATCTGCCCCTGGTGGGCATCCTAGAGGTCAGTCTTCCAGGGCAGGTATGTGCCCCAGGCCATCGATTGGAACAGGGTGCGGCACCCATGGCCACAGCATCCGGACTAGGAAGAGCATGACTGAATTGGAGCCAAGGACTCATGATTCTGGGGCTCTGTCAGGCTGAGAGTGTGGGCACAGACTGCCTGGTGCAGTCCTGGCTTTGCCAGCACCTGATCTCAAGTGAGTTATTTCACTTCCCTGGGCGACTCCTGCATCTACAGAGTTTGGTAACTGCCCAACTCCAAGGGCAGAGCCATGTCTAGCACGTGAGTCCCTTGTGCTGCTGTGCGATTGGCATGACACCCATCTGCTGTGCCCTCCAGGGTGGGGGGCTCTGATTTAGCTCCAGCGTGGGGTCTGGCACATGCCAGGGACACCAGGGACACTGGATGAACAAATAAGAGAGGGGGCCTTGCTTGGGCTGGGAGACAAGGGGCCCTTGGCTTGGGAGAGCCGGCAGTGTGGGAAAGCAGTCAGCTGCTCACCTAATGGGACCATCCTACTATCTTCTTTTCCAAGGCTGACCCCGGAGCCTTCTGTCGTGTCTCGAGGGGCCCTCATCGCTGGTCCCTGAAACGAGAGACACCACATCCACAACTGAGAGACCTGAGCAATGGCCTCAATTCTTCTCCCTCCCTCCTCCTTTTAACTGGTCACCAAGTCCCATCGCCTGCTCTGGGATGCTCAGCCACCCCATGATGAGGCTCACAAGGGACCACCTCAGGATCTCCAGCCCTGAGCCGACTTCCAGATGACAGCAGCAGCTTCCTTAGAGACCCTAACCCGTAGCAAGCTCCTAACCCATAGAACCTATGTGACATGATAAATGCAGATTTTTTAAGCCATTAAGTTCTGGGTTGATCTATTACTCAAGAGCAGATAACTGATACACCCGCTTTCAACTTTGCTTTAGCTTCTTACTGCCTTTGCAAACTCCTTGACGAAATGCAGAAAAACACACAAGGTACTTTTAACAGGAAAAATGAAGCAAGTTTAGGATGTGGCTTTCCCCAGCTCAAATGGCAGACAGCCCTGAGTGAGATGGCGACAGCCAGAAAGGTTAAAGAAAAGGTTCAGAGTGACTATGCTCAATTATTGTCCACTCTTGTCACTGCTCCTCAAGCCCTCGTTCTCGAGGACAAAACCAGAATTCTCCTGGTGCTGATGGAGGATGGCTGACTCGTGAGTTACTACACCCAGTCCCCTGCTGCATTTTACTTGTTTCAAATGCTTTCAGGCTAAAGCAATTGTTAGGGTGAAAATTCAAGATGCCTAAAATTCTATTAGCTGGTAAGAGGGTCCAACAAGCAGCTGCGGAGCATTATGTAAAAGCACATGGTTTGGGACGTATCAGCAAATGCCCACTGTCTGGGCAGTGGCAGGATAATCTGGGGCCACCTTTCCACCCCAGGGGGACTATAAGTCGATTCCTGACCATTTGTGCACCCCAGGCTGTGAGGGGCTGCAGGTGCTGTTCTGTCACTTGCTTCTGCAGTGGCCCACAAGGCCCACAGGCCCGGGCCCTGCCATCCTGTCTGGCTCCACCTCTGGCTGGGTCCCTGCCTAGAATCCTAAGTACCAGGTCTGAATATACTAATATTTGGTATATTCAGCTTATGTGCCTGGACCAACCTGTCCCATATCCTTCCCCATCCATCCTGGAGATTGCTGAGCCCGTCTCTGCAACACACACGTTTATAATCCTGTGTGATACAGGAACATCCCCTATCTTGGTGCCTGTCACACTGCAGTTTTTAACGTCTTTATAGAGGCACACAGATGTGCAAATGAACACACACACTTAAAGCACATCATCCAATGAATTTCAACAGACGTACATGCTCAAAACACCACCACCAACGAGACGGTGAATACACCTACCGCCCAGAAAAGTCCTGTGCACACACACGACCTCTCCCACTCCCTTCCAACATGCAACCCCAATGTGCTTTGTCACTCCAGAGGTTTCCATCTTCTAGAACTTTACACAACTAGAACCACACAGTAAACAGGTATTCTTTTCTTTTTTTGTCCAGTTTCTTTCAATGTAATTATTTTGAGATTAAGATACTGGCCTACAGTTTTCTTTCCTTGTCAGGTCTTTAGTTTTGTTCTCAGGGTAATGCTGAACCCATGGAGCTAGAAATGGCCCCTCATCTCCCATTTAGAAAAGAGTCTATATGGAGTTGGTGTCAGTTCTCCCTGAAATGTCAAGACTGCCAATGGAGCCGCCTGGACCAGCGCACCACATTTTACAGATGGCAGGCTCCAGAGGGGAAGGGGCTGGCCTGCCTTGCTTTTGTGGTGTCCCTGGTGCTAATCTTTTTTAAAACAGCTTTATTGCAATATGAGGCATAAACCACAGAATTCACCCACTTAAAGTACAATTCAGTGGTTTTTAGTATATTCAGAGTTGTGCAAGCATCACCACCATCAGTTTTAGAATATTTTCATCACCCACCAAATAAATCTTGAACCCGTCAGCAGTCACTACTCCTCCTCTCCCCCTGGCCACTGAGAACCACGAATCTATTCTTGTCTCTGCGGATTCTGGATGTTTCGTCTAAATGGGATCATGCAGTATGGTATGTGGTCTTTTTGACTGGTTTCTTTCACATACTGTTTTCAATGCTCATCCACATTGTAGCGTGTGTCGGCATGTTGCTCCTTTTCAGGGCTGAGTAACAGCCCATGTGTAAGCATTCCACATTTGGGTTATCTGCTCCCCAACTGGTGCACGTGTGGGTGTTTCCACGATTTGGCTATTATGAGTGACGCTGCCGTCATTTACACTTTCCTGGGTATAAGCATAGGACAAATGAATGTTGTTTTCTGCTGGGTCCCCACCCAGGAGTGGACTACTGGCTAACAGGGCGGGTAAGTCCTCACTGAACGTCGTCGGTAGCTTCTGCAACTTCAAGCGAAATGACACATAACGAAGCCCATTTCACCAGAGGCTGCTTGACATACGTGGTAGTTAAACTCCTTCACGCCCCATCAATGCTGAACGAAAGGCGACTCCAGGACCAGCTATAGTTGTTTAACGTTTTGGTGGAACTGCCAAGCTGTTTGCCACCTTGAGTGCCTGATTTTACACTCCAATGCCTGGTACCTCTTACACTAGACGCTAAGTGAGTGGATACCTGCCTTTGCCCTCAGAAAGAGGCTCGGACACAGGGGTGCAGAGGCATGGGGCAGGGTTCAGCATGAGGCTGGCCAGGTCCCTGGATGCCTCCAGCCACAAACCTGCTCGTGGGACCCCAAGTGAGTTACCTCCCAATTGTCAGTTCAGAGGATACTAGGCAGCACATGGTCTCACCCAAGTCCCCACTGAGACAGAGCATGGTCGAGTGTACAACATGGTCAGCACACCTGGGGGTGGAGACCAGGAAGCCACACTACCAGCAGGCTCTCCCCATGACCCAGGGCACACCTGAGCCTAAGAATCTGCACTCCTCTGCACGACTCCACAGATGTCCTGGGGAATCTCTGGTTTGGGGTCACAGACACAGGACGCTAAGCCACGCAGAGGCCGAGTGCCATCCACAGGAAGATGTCCAGGACAGAGCAGCCATAGCTGCTCAGGAACTAGAAGTAGGGATCTAGGGCCACAGTGCATTGGCTCCATCCCTCCCACCACCCCTAACTAGATGTGTGACCTTGGCCAAGATGCTAGACCTATCTGAACCTTGTGTCTTCATCTGTGAAACAGAGAGGACCACAATGCCCAGTAACAACCCCTCAGGGCTGCATGGAGTCGAACAGGCTGTGCTACTTACCCGGGGGACTTTCAGCCGTGCTGCATAAGCTCGCCCTCCAGACCTGAGACCGAAGTCAGCCATGTGACAGTCAGCCATGCGCATGGGTCTGACCCCCAAGGAAACCCTGGACACTGGGTTCAGGAAGCCTCCTTGGTGGGCCATACTTGGTGTCCCCTACTTGACCCCTGGGAAGAGGCTGGAAACTCCATGTGTGGAACTCCCTGGTCCCTGCCCCTGTGCCTCCTCCTTGAGCTGACTGAGTCTGTGTCCTTCCGCTGTGATAAACCATAACTGTGAACACAACAGCTGCCCCCAAGTTCGGAGTCCTTCTGTTGGACTGTCAAACTAAGGGTGCTCTTGGGGACCCTCGAGGGAGTGTCAGGAGAGAGGGTATTTGGGGGCTGTTCCATCTAACTGTACCACTAGTCTGATGCTCCCACTTGCTCTCCAGCATCCCTATGCCCATCACACCCTTGCTTCTAGGGTGCATGGAACTTGCTGCTTATTTGCTTCTGTGTGGAGTATCGCTCCCACAAGCTGAGGACTGCGGGCTGCAAGGGGCAGGTCTGTCTCCAACCATGACCATGGAAAGGTGGTGGAGGGATGTGGTGCTAACTGCCCTCTACCCCCACCTGCATGTGCATGCTCACCCAGAGCTCCTCCAGCAGGGCCACCGCCTCCTCCCCACTCTGCGGCCGCCGGCTGCACACCCAGGCCTGGACATCGGCCGGGAAGGCACTCAGAAACTGCTCCAACACCAGCAGCTCCAGCATCTGTTCCTTGGTGTGCACCTCAGGCCGCAGCCAATCTCGGCACAGTGCACGCAGCAGGCCCAGTGCCTCACGGGGACCTGGCGCGTCGCCCAGGTGGAAATGGCGGAAGCGGTGCCATGGTGAGTCCAGGGCCCGGCCCTCCTGCTTCACAGACGGGGCAGACGGGGCCTCCATGGGGGCCTGCGAGCCCGGGGAACAGGAGTACCTGCAAGGAGGAAAGTTCCGCACATAAGAGCCAGCCCAGTCATTCCAAAATCCACCGCCTTCCATGTGAGATGACACGAGAGCAGGGTCCCCATCTAAGAGTGTGTGACCTGGAGCAAGTAGAGTCACCGTTCTGTGCCTCGGTTTCCTCCCAAGAGACGAAGTGCTCACCTGCCTGGTGTAGCCGAGAGCTGCCTCAGAAGGCTCCTGAGAGGGGCTGCACTCAGTACTCAGTAGATGGCAGGTGCTGGAAGAAGGGGGGCTGTGACTCCCTCCTGGGACAGGACAGGTTTAAATCCTGGCTCAGCCCCTCCCAGGGGTGACCTGGGCATCACAGGACCTCAGCCTCCTCCCTCGACCTCTGTGAGAATTAAACAGGAAAACACACACAGGACTTGGCACAGGGCCTGGCACACAGCAAGTGCTCAGGACAGTGTCAGTTATCGCCAGCACCACCATTCTCATGATTGTTTTGCCTGATTACACACCAAACCCTGTGTCCCCCATGCAGACATCTTAGGATAGCAGCTCAAAAGCCACCTCTAGTATCTTCCTTACTAACTGCTGCAGACTGAACTGTGTCCCCAAAATTAGTATGCAAAAGCTCTAACCCTCGACTGTATTTGGAGATGTGAGTTTTTAGGAGATAATTAAATGATGGAGAATGTTGGTCAAAAGGTACAAAATTCCAGTTATGTGACAGGGATATAATGAACAGCATGGTGATGGTGGTTAATAATACTGTGTTGTATACCCAAAAGTTGCTGAGAGAGTAAATCTTAAAAGTTCTCATCAAAAGAAAAAAATTTTAACTATGTGACATGATAAATGTTAACTAGGCTTATTGTGATCATTTTACTATGTATCTACGTCAGCTCGTTATGTTGTACAATCTAAAAACAATATTATATGCCAATTATATCTCAGTAAAACTGGGGTGGAAAGATTAAATAAAGTTGTAAGGGTGGGGTCCTAATCTAATAGGATTAGTGGCCTCATAAGAAGAGGAAGAGAAATGTCCCTAGGATCTCTCTGCCAGGTGGGGACACAGCAAGAAGGCTCCACATATAAGCCAGGAGGAGGGTCCTTACAAGACTCCAAATCTGCCTGCACTTGGTCCTGGCCTCCAGAACCATGAGAAGTAAATGTCTGTTGTTGAAACTGCCCCTCCATCTGTGACATTTTGTCGTGGCAGTCCAAGAGATGGTGACACTAACAGATCCCAATCATGTCTGGGTATTGAGAAAACTGGCAGACCCTAAGAGCTCCCCGATACCCACTATCCCCTTTCCTTTTGTGTAATCACCCCACCCCACCCTGGAAGAAGCCGTGAGCCCTCCACTTCCTCTTCCGCTTTCCCAAAGGAAAAGAACACAGACGTGGCAGTGACTTCAGTATGAGGATGACACAGAGCCCAGTGCAGTGGTTCTCACAAAGGGTAATGTCACACACATACACACACATCCCACTGGCACATAAAAATCTGGAAACATCTGAAGACATTTCTGAATGTTTGGGGGGTTGGAGGCTGAGACTAACTCTAAGACATCATAATTATTCTCTGTGTCCGGTGGGGTCTTCAGAGGCTGATGGCCACAGGAGCAGACATGAAGACCTAGCTGTCTTCTTTTAAGTTCGATACTGGAGAGATTTTCAAAAAGACACCACATTTCCAACTCTCCATTTTGGAAAACACTGTTGTTTTTCATTTTTAAAATGTATTAATCTTATGTGAAAAGTTGATTGCTGCTTTTTCTAAATACATTAATATATACAAAATTTCTCAGTCTTGGTTTCTTATACGATACACACCAAAAGCTCTAACCCCCATAAACAAAAGTGTTTTGGGGCCTTCAATAATTTTTAGGACTATAAAAGGGTCCTGAGTCTGAATCTTTTGAGAATCCCTAGCCTGAGACTGGGGTCAGCAAGCAGCTGCCTGCGGGACAAATCTGGCCTGCAGCCAGCTTTAAAAACAACGCATGTCAGATTAATTAAATGGTTAAGAGACGGGCTCTGGTGCTGGGCTACCTGGTTCCAACTTTCAGCTCTGCCACTGATCTGCTTGTGACTCTGGGCACCTGCCTTGCCCCCTCTGGCCTTAATTTCTCCACTTTTAATAATGGACTAATAATGGCTCACTCCCCACAAAGGGTTTTAGAAGTGGGCCAGCACTGAGTAGGCGCTGGGTAAAGACCTGTCTACGCCAGCTTTCTTACCCTCAGCACTGGCGGCATTTGGGCTGGATGATCCTGTGATGCGGCAGCCAGCCTGTGACACGGAAAACACTGATCAGCATCCCTGGCCTCTTTCCATCAGATATCAGTAATATCTCTCCACTTCTGACTACCGGAAATGTCTCCAGATGTTGCCACGTGTCCCTTGGGGGCAAGGTCTCCTCTGGTGGAGAGCCACTGGTCCACAGGACAAATATTTACTCAGCACAAGGGCTCTGAAGCAAATTCTGGCTCTGCCACCTACCAGCTATTTGTCCTTGGACAAGGTACACGGCCACCTTTGACAAACCGAACCTCCATTCCTGGGCAGTAAAATCATTCTAACCCAAGAGTCGCAGCAAGAATTCAAGATACAGGGAAACGAAGGTGCTGAGAACAGCGCCTGGGCTAAGCAAGCCCCCAACTAGAGGTGGTCACTTAAATTACTGTTACTTTGTGAGGTGCAGGAGGTGCCGGTTTAACAAAACAAGCACGTGCATTTCAAAGTTAGCTATAAACTAGAATAGGCGCTAAAAGACGGTGATTCGAGGCTGATTAGGGTTGATGCGGGGAAGGGACCGCCTCAGATGACAACAGCAAACACAGCCTGGAAGCACTGGACCCCCATTAACGAACTTAACTCCTTGCAACCAGCTAACGGGGCAGAACGAACTTAACCCCTTGTATCAAGCTAAAGGGGCGGGTGCTCTTCGAGAAAGAAAGAAAACCAGGCAACTCATCTCACCCTCAGGAACCCACAACTTATAAAGGTGAAACTGCACTGGTGGAAATGGCGCACAAACGAACCACCTGCGCCCGACTCCGTCGGAAAGATAACCTGTCCCCACAACCCATTTCCCCAAACCTTTCCAATGAGGTTGGTCCCGGCGCCCGCAGTCTCGCCGAGCCCCACCCCCTCGCTGGCCTCCTCCCC